TGCTGCTGGGTTGGTCCAGTAGCGCCGAGGAGCGGTGCTACTGGAGCAACCCAGCAGCACCCCAGCTGCTCTGTCCCAGATGTCCCCAAGTCAGCCGTTACTGAAACTGACCAGAGCTGACTACAGGAAGCCCAAGGCACAGTTGCTCTGCCCCGGGCTTCCTGGAATCAGCTGCTGATCAGGTTCCGCAGCAGCTGACTTGGGGTTCTTAAGTTGAATCTGTATGTAAGTCAGAACTGGCGGTCAGTTTCAGCAGCGGCTGAATCTGGACGCCAGTTCCGACTTACATACAGATTCAATTTAAGAACAAACCTACAGTCCCTATCTTGTACGTAACCCGGGGACTGCCTGTATCCCGCGCTTCATTAACATTATCTCCCCGGCGCACTAGTTCAAATCACGGCTGATTCGAACCAGGAACCCTAAGGGCTTTAGTCCGAACTAACGCAGCCCGGCATGCACTTCCTGGTTCGAATCAGCTGTGATTCGAACTAGCGCGCCGGCAAGATCATGTTAATGAAGCGCGGGATATTTAAATCCCTGCTTCATTAAGTACTTCGGTCGTCTCCATTTGCATCCCCAGTCTGAACTAGGGATTCAGTGTAGACATACCCTTAGAAAGCAATTCCAACATGTGCTTTTCTACCGGACAATAGTGGCACATCTATACAGCAGGACTAATGACAAAATCAGCTACATAACGTAACAACTACATCAATTGCATAGCTTAAGTCGAAATAGCTTATTTTGGCTTTTGGCACAAAATAAGCACTTTTCCTCTGACTTCCCTTAATCCTCATACAATGAGGGTTACAGGAGTTGGAGTAAGAAGTCCTTCAGCTTGATGTTGTTTTGACATTATGTCAAAGTAACTACTTGTAGTGTAGACGCAGACTATGTTATTTCGGAATAACATCAGTTATTCCAAAATATCACTGCTGAGTAGACATACCTTAGGAGTTAATATAATAAATAAATAAATAAATAACAATATTTTTATTCTTCTTCTGTTACTTAGGTTTAAATGCTACAAGAGTCTAGAATCAGTTAACAAGTGGAAAATATTCTAGTTAGATTTATGCTATTGGTTATGGATGAGCTAAATATGTGTTGTTGAATACAGCCACTCCCCAACTTATGAACACACCGACTTACAGCCATCCGTACTTATGGCCAACCTCCCATTAACCCCATTATAATATTTTCAAGTTAAGAACCATATACGTCAAGTTTTTCAAACTGCGGGGGCAGCGCGTTTAAGGGTATTTCTGACTTACAACCAAATCGAGTTATGACCAGGTGTTCAGAAGATAACCTGTTCATAAGTCAGAGACTGCCTGTAAAGGAGTACCTCCTGATATGAAGATATTTTGAGCATGCAGGGAAAAATTAAGATTATTTGAGCACATGGAGTGATGGTGGTTAATTTTATGAGTAACTTTAAACTTGGAATTTATTAATAACTGAGAAAAGTATGATATTATCTTACTAAGGGTTTTTTCACCCTTTAAGCTTTTGGTATATACAAACATAAATCCAGTTTAACAAATTTTTAGCTTGGGAATCCACATACATTTAAAATAGTACTCAGGAATTGCTCTGTGATGGGTCTTCCGGAATCTGAAAGCGACACAGTGACGAATTCCCACTCCCACGTAAACATAAATTCCTTCCTCTTGGTCCCCAGATTAGACTTCTCGTATCTTTCACTTAGTGCTCTCACCTGCAATATACTTCAGACTGGATTACAACTGATCACCTTTCCTGTTGCTTCTCCCTCTCATTTAGTATGATGCTTCAGGTATGGAAGAAGCTATTGTTTGGGATGTCACAGCTTGTTGCCTGAGTGCCATGGAGCATACCTGCTCCTTACTGGCCATGTGTAACTCTGCAGCACTCCCTGACTCAGTGTCCTCCTCACAGGATTTTCTGTCTCTCAGCAGTTCATGTCCTTTAGCTGGGTCACTCTGACCTCAATTTCTCTTTTTCCCCACTTTTGGTTCCTCTCTAGCCCATCCTGGTCTCAGTTTCCAGTTCCTTCCAAGTTATCTTTAAAGTCTCTGGTTCTAGGATAGAGTCCGAAATTTCAACCTTCTTCACTGCAGTTGTTCACAACATGCCCCTGTGGGGCTAGAGCAGCACCCAGCCCACAACAAGCTGGGAGCTGCTACAGTCGCACCAATTAACCCTTCACATCCCCAAGCATAAGTACGGCTGGCCGCATCTTCCCTTAAAGGAGCTAGACACCAAATAACACTAAGTTTCAAATAGAAGTCATGTTCTACTCTGCTTTAGCAGTCCCAGCCAATTGTGAAGACACACAAAGCACAAAAATAAATGGCCAGTTAAAGTGCTTGAAATAATTATTAAAAGATATATCCTGTATTCCAGAAGTATATTTCAGTATGTTTTAATTGTAAATGTATGGGACCCATCTGGCACATTACCAACAACTGTCTCATATATTTTACATTTGAGTTATTGAGAGAGAAAACTCTTCATTCTCTGTGACACACATACAAAACAATTAAAGGGAACTATTTTGAGTCATGTAGGGTTATATAGTAAATACTTGGCTTGACTATGTCTTATATCAGGTAGTTATGTAACCTTTCAGACTCTTACCAGATATGGACACTATTTATTAACTACAGAAGTTATTTTCTTACCAAGAATTGATGGATGCATGGCAAGAGTACTACATCTGCCAGAGTGAAATAAAGCCCCTCAGCAAAAACGTGCTCCAGAGGTGGAAGATCAGAGGTTTTTGTTTTTCTGATGTGAGAGGGCTCCCTGCTTGTTGTAACAGGTATTTCCTGCACAACTAGCTTTGAGAAAGCTACTCTCAGTTCCAGGCTTGCAAGTTCTTGCTCCTGGATGTCCATTACTGTTCCTTCTTCCGGGCTAAGATTTTTTGTTGCTCTTCTAGCAATGGCGGGTGCTGCAGTCTTATCACCTGCCTTTTGCTGTTGAAGTTTCTGCCTTCGGATTTTGTCATCATTGTGCACTCTGACAGGTTCTCTTAGCTTCTTCTCAAAAAGCAAAACCTCAGATGGAATGTCCTCATATTGATGGGGAGATGCATTCAGCAAGTTCTCAACAGCCTGAGGGATGCTGATCTCACAAAGTCTTGTCCACTGACTTACCTGCCACATAAACACAAACAAGCACAATTTCACTAGATCTGTTTGGATTATAATGCAGACATTCAAAATTAAGGGCATGACTTAAATAATGTAAAGAGCTTCCATGGAAAGACTGAAACTCCTTCCTTAATACATGCCACATCCATATCAGAAATTCCATGGGTATGTCTCTGTGTGTGTATACATGCAATACTGTTTTAGTCAAATAGGATGAAGTTTAAGCTCTCTGAATTTCCTTGCTTTTGTTAGTTTACATTAAACCATTAATAGACTAAATTCCAGTATCAATCCAGAAACTAAATTTTATACATAAAAGGAATTCATGATAATCTAAATGTCTTTTGTTGGCATTAGGGTTGAGAATAAGCATCAATAAATTTTATATTAGTATTTTCATAAGCAAGAGTAGTATTTGTTGTTTTGAGGAACAGGAATGAAAGATATTTCATGGTGATAGAACAAATTAATGTCACAAAATGTGGTCCAATTGGTCCAAAACTGCCAAGGAGGGCTGAGGAATGTGCTGCAGAGAAACATGGCCACATCTAAGGGATTTTGTTCAATTTAACTGGAATGAAATGAGGTCAATGGACTGACCAATATTAAAGACTATAAGGTAGTCTATGACAGAATACATTTAGCAACAGTTTAAGAAGGCATTATTTTTCAAAGTGGTGATCAAGTAAGCAGATATTTTCCATAAAGTGGTGTAGGTAATATTCATATTGAAAAATTAAATGGCTACATGGAATTTCTCAATGACATTACAGAGTTTCACAGCGTAAAATAAATTACTTCCCTTTCTGAGATGTTCTTAGTAGGCTTTTCATTAAACATGTTCTGCCTTTACCTACATTTCCCATTGGATTTTCATTTGTTGGATTTTTTTTGCACAACAGTGGCTTTTACTTTCTATGGTACAAAAACAAAGAGACTTTGTTGGTTTGTTTTTACATTTAACTTTTTAAACATCAGAACTAGAGTGATGCGAGTTGTAAATGGTCAAGTCTTTCCTAGCACAAGTAGCCCATAAGTTTGGTTCTGGACATTTGCTATTATGAAACTAGATTTCAATATTATCTTCTCTTTTACACACCTTCCAAGGCCTTAGTTCAGGATTCTGTAATTATCTTTGAAGAACTGATGTAATCCTAAACACCTATGTATAATGATGCAACTCACTGATTTGATTTATAGGTGGTATATAACTCCAGCTCTCACATACAATCCTGAAATCTGAGTATGGCAGGTAAAAGGTAAATTGAATTTCTTTTTAAACATATAGTGGTCCAATGGGTCTAAAATGGTACAGCTCCACTGATTCTATGAAACTCCACCAGATTATACCATCTGAGGATCTGGTTCATATTTTTAATTTTAAGGCTACTTATTCTGTTAAATATGTAGACTGTTTTTATTATAAATGACCAGCATTCACTTGTTTAGTTTAGAAAAGAGAAGACTGAGAGGGGACACAATAGCAGTTTTCAAGTATCTAAAAGGGTGTTATAAGGAGAAGGGAGAAAAATTGTTTTCCTTGGGCTCTGAGGATAGGACAAGAAGCAATGGGCTTAAATTGCAGCAAGAGAAGTTTAGGTTGGACAGCAGGAAAAACTTCCTGTCAGTGTAGTTAAACACTGGAATAAACTGCCAAGGAGGGCTGTGGAATCTCCCTCACTAGAGATATTTAAGAGTAGGTTAGACAGACACCTGTCAGCGATGATCTAGACAGTGGTTGGTCCTGCTGTGAGGGCAGGGGAGTGGACTCAATAACCTCTTAAGGTCCCTTCCAGTTCTAGTGTTCTATTATTCTATGATTATGCCAGAATCAATACAGTGTGCTGCTGTACTAGCAACAGGAAACAGTATGATAAAATATCCCAACTGGACATTCCAGCAGACATCCACTTTAAAACCCAATTTTTACTGTTAATCTACATTAAAATATGTAACAGAGAAAGATGCACTCACTTCAGCACAGGCCTTTAGGCAGGTCTTTTTAAACCCCAAAAGTTCCAAAACCAACTTCTTTGATGGATCAACCTGTTGTATTTCCTGTATTATGTGCCTCAACACAACAGAAAGACCAGCTCGACAGAATTTGCCATTTTCTTCAACTATAGCAGGCAAACAGCAGCTCTGGACAACCAAAGGGAGTTGACATCTTGAAATAAAGTGGACCTCTAGGTCATAAAGTTGTGCTTTGTCAAATAACTGGTCATCTGTACTGTCACTAACAGGCACTAAGAAAACTTTAAATAATTTGCAGTCACAGTAGGACAGCAAGAACAAGGATATTGAAGTGTGGAGAGGAATGATGCAATCTTCAAACTGATGGGAGTAGGCCAAGTACAGGTGCTCTTCAGTAAAACCACCTTTCATTTTCCTTCTGGGCTGAAGTACCTGAAACACAAGTCAGAACAATAACATTCATAAAGAATATAGCATTTACTAATTTTTCTAAAAAAGAGTTGAAATAATGACCACTGCACCTGTTTGAAAGAGGTGGTTTTAACTTGAGATGTGTTCTTTTATATATTTGCTAGTTCAAATAGCAAGTGGATCACAATCCCCTCTGATGCAAATGCTTGAAGATGTGTATTTATTTATTTTCAACATCTCACAAACAAGCCCCACCCAGACTCAAAAACTAAGCTCCCAATCCCAACTGTATGTGCACAGATCTACTCACATGTATGACCTTGCACTTTCAAACCTCAGTGTGGAACAGGCACTGTATTAAGCTACCAATTCTGCATTTTAACTAATCTGTTCTCTGCTGTGGAAGTGATATGCCAATGGATACTCACACCAAAGCCTGAGAGAATATTTATTCTGTCATGAAAACTCAAATTGATCATGAACTTTGAAATGAGTAACTGGTCAGAAATGGATCTAGAAATGGATCCCAAACATATTTGAGTGGGTACCCCTTTTTTGTGTTTGTAGTTTTTAATGTACTCCTGCCCAGATACATACATCACCATGAAGCTCTGAAGTCAGAACAGAGAGCTGTGGCTGCATGCAAGTTGCCCAGCTCTGAACCTCACCCCACCAGCACAGAAATAATTGTGCAGGTAGTAATGTAAAAAATTATGTTTGTCAACATAACTTTTCACAGCAGACTTTGTGCCCCATTGCTCCCCTTACTTCTGCACTGCTGCTGCCACCATGGAGCTGACAGAGCCCCACCACCTCCACGTGCGGGATATGGAAGTAGGGTGGCTGGAAACCCTGCACCCAGGAGACAGGGTTCCAGCTGTCTCTTTTATCCCTCCTTCCCAGGTTTGCATGGTCCTTCTGTACAGGTCCCAGCCTGGGGCTAACAGCTAATTTTCTTCTCCCCTTCTTCTCCTTCGTATAACTGACTTAAATGTAGACCAACAATTGTAATTTTACATTTAGACGGTTAAGCCAGATAACTGCATCTGGAGTAGCATGGTATTGCTGTTATGCCTCCTAGGGATGTGAATGCTTATCTAGTGAACCGTAGGGGGCTGGAGCAGCTCCCCCCCTGCCATTGGCTGCTCCAGCCCCATGGAGGCCTGTCATGGACAGAGGCTGCTCCAGCCAGGTTGGTGAAACTGCTGCCTGCAGTGGGGCAGAGGGAGAGAAGGGGCACTCCAACCCCCCCACCTGCTCCCTTTTTAATTGTTTAAGCACTTAAACTATATGTTTAACCAGTTAATCAATTAAACAGGAATTTACACCCATAATAAGAACATAAGAAAGGCCATACTGGATCAGACCAAAGAACCATCTAGCCCAGTATCCTGTCTGCCAACAGTGGTCAATGCCAGATGCCCCAGAGGGAGCGAACACAGCAGGTAATCATCACATGATCCCTCCCCTGTCATCCATTTCCAGACAAACAGAGGCTAGGGACACCATTCCTATCCATCCCAACTAACAGCCATTGATGGACCTGGCCTTCATGAATTATCTAACTCTTTTTTTGAACCCTGTTAAAGTCTTAATCTTCACAACATAATGCTTCCTTCATATTTGTGAATTGGGAAGGAAATGTGGGAGATCAAAGCCAGGGATCTTCCACATTGGGTCTGTCTTGAGGTATTTATTTGTGACTTCTTGTGAATTCCATTAGGATTTCTAAGTTTCATGAGGGAGGAAGTTGCATTGTTGAAGATTAAATGCATGGGTCGAAAAAGACTTGTGCAACTGCAAGCAGTGGTGAGGAGCATTATTAAGGTCCTCATGGATGGGAAGACATTGTATTTCCACAATCTTCTGATATTTATGAATGGTTGTGGCATTGCAATGAATGGATGGGGGAGCAATGCGTGACAGCACTGCCAGCCAAGGTGCCAGGATCAAGTTGAGGGTTCCAGCAATGCATTACACTGCGGCGTTTACTTGGACATCAGCAAGCTGAATATGGATACTTTTGGTATATTCAGTGTACTATCCTCGACTACAGAGTACATGGGAACCATCGCTATGTAACACTGGTGCTGATGCTCCCCAGTTTGTGCTTGCCAGTTTTGGAACCAGGCTGACCCTTGTCTTCATCTTGTCTGCTACTTTCTTCAGATGGTCATGGAAGGTTAGCATGTAGTCCAGCTTCACTCCAAGATAGGTTGAAGTGGGGTCATGCTGCAGTATTGTCACAGAATAGGAATGTAAAATCCCATGTAAATTATTAACCAGCTAAACTATAGGTTTAGCCAATTAAGTGCCTGCTGCACCGCTAAGTGTGTGGGGTCTGGCACCACGCTGGGGGCTCTCCAGCCTATCTGGGTGCTGGTTAACCAGTTACCCAGGTAAATATGCTGGTAAGGCAATGCTTACTGGTTAAACCTTTATATCCCAACCTCAGAAGGTAACTTTCAGTGTGTGCTTAGCATTCCTTCTATCAAGATAGAATGCATGGACTACTTTCATGAGGATTTGGCTAGAGACTCTATTGCCAGAAACATTCCTTCATGGTGTTTAGGTTCCTATTCAAGGCAGTCTGAACTTATCTGCTTGCATTGCCAGGTTAGGGTCATCCACATATGCAAATCTGCATGACTTAGTTGCAGCATGTTGCTTGTGTAAATACTGAAAAGCAACGACATGAACACTGAACCTTATTCACTGTTGAGGAACTGGGGCTGTAATTGATAGGAGGAGTGCTGACCAGTATCCGGTGACTAAGGGGTTAAACTCAGCAAGGGTAGCTAGCAAGGGTGTTGGCCAGGGGTCCAGGAGAACTAATCGACATAGAGGGTTGAAATTTGAAATGGATATAGTTTCCTTGCCTGCCTTATTTGGGTGGGAGAGTTAAACTATGAGTTGAGAGAGACAGAATGATTTAAACGCAAGCAGGACTACAATGCCATCAAGGAATTTGGGGCATGGAAGTGGACTGAACCAAGAAAAGACTGGAATAAAGTAAAAGTAAAAAGGGAATCTAGTCACGATCAGGGTATTTTGTTTATTTGTTGGTTTGGTTTGAACTGCTTTCTGTGAATCTATGCCTCCCTTCCCCATTTATCATCAAAGCATTATTTCCAGTGATTTTCTTTGTGTTTTAATTTGTTCTCCTTAGTTGCTCTGTAACATCTCACAACCAAGTATGCTTTATCAAGTATATCTTTTGTTTTGTAATAAAAATCACTTTCTTAAGCTAATGATTTTATTCTTGTGTCCTAGAAGGGACAGGAGGTTGGTCTGTCTGTTTGTATCTGCATGTGTCAGACTGAGAGGTCAGCTACCAGAGACTGCAGTTTGTTTGTCTTTCTTTTTTCAAGCTCTCTTCTAACAGAAGAGCTTGGGGTACCCCTGGGGGGAGAATTCAAGTGTTTGCCCCAGATTTTAGGGATGAAAAATCACTTGATGACAGCGACATTCCCTCCCCCTCCCCAAATCTGTGCATTTGTGACTCTGGAGGAAGTTTTTGTAACTAGTGCCTGTAATGGCAAGGTACAGGTAGTCCCCGAGTTACACGGATCTGACTTACGTCAGATCCGCAGTTACGAATGGGGCTTTTCTCGCTCCGGAGGACGGGAGCGGCGGGACGCCCAGATGCGCCGCGGTCCGCCGCCCCCATCCTCTGGGGCAAGAAAAGCTGCTCCCCGTCTCCCTGGTCTGCAGGGAAACGGGGAGCAAAGCCTTGGAGCACGCCCGCAGGGGGACAACCCAAGCGCGCCGCGGCTGTCCTGCTGCAGGCGTGCTC